TCGTTTCGTTTAATTACCGCTGCAAGGAAAGCCACCTAGGGAAAAACCGCCCTTTGCCCACCGCCGCGGAGGGCAGCGGGGCTGGCCGCGCTGTTTTGAAGGGGGTGGGAAGAAACCGGAGGGAAAGAGCAACGTGAAAACAACCAACCCCAAGCGGTGCCGAGGCCCGGGCTCCGCGGGGCGGGGGACCCCCGCCTGGCCTCCTCGCCGGCGGGGCTCCGCTCCCGGCGAGCCCCGTGGGCGGGGGGGGGAAGCTCGGTGCTTGCCCAGCGGTGCAGGTAAACCCCGAGCCATCGGATCTGCGGCTGCCTACGGTTCCCCTCCTTTTCAGGAACGCAGTCAAAGCCCAGCGGCGCTTTGGACGTGAGCTACTGGTTGCACCACTGCGCCGTTTTTCTACTGTAATTGGAGCGTTTTCATGGCTGCTTTGTATTTATGACAGCAGGGTTTATTCCTATTTTACCAACTACAGCAGAGGGAGAAATGTCTAGAAGGAGATTTAAAGGGCCTCTGCACACCGAAAAATGCAGATGCCTACCAGCTGAACCAAGTTCTCCAGAGACACATGAATAGAATAGAATAGAATAGAATATTTCAGTTGGAAGGGACCTACAACAATCAGTCTGACCGCCTGACCGATGCAGGGCTGACCAAGTTAAAGCATGTTATTAAGGGCATTAATAATCCTAAGTTTTCTGTTTTATACCTACCATGAAGGGAGCAGATAAAGTAAACGTGAAACTCACCCAATCCCTAAAGAGCAGAACTAGGAGGCGTAAATTCAAGCTAGTAGGAGATCGGCTTGAAACAGTTAAAAGTTACTTTACACAACAGGTAACGCATTCCTGGAACTTGTTGCCACAGGAGAAGATAGGGGCAAATTCTATCAACCAGTCTGAAACAGGATTAGACAAATTAGTGATGACAAGTCCACAAACAGACTGAGCACCAATCGTATATGTTGGGGGAGTAAGAATATGGGGGGGGACTGTGGAAGCGGCTGCTCACTGGTGGTGTCCCCACCCAGCCCTGCCTGTGCCTGCCAGCACTGCTGGGCCGGGTGAGCCACAGGTCTCATCTAAGGCCTTTCTTACCCTCTTAACCCCAATCACAGCATGACTATAGCACCCTTGGAGCTGCACGATCATCTTTGAATCATTTTTCAACGTGCCTCCTTTCCCCTTCAGCTCCCTGAGGACTGTAGCATGCCTTGTGCTTTACCACCACATAAAGATGTGGCGTGTGCTGTTTGTAGGGTTGCGAAAGTTAGCTACCCCTCCTCTAGGGCATGCCTGTGGAGTCAGAATGCATCTGTGCTCCTACGTCAGAAGAACAAATGTAAGGTGTGATGTTGATGTGCAGATAATGCCCTTTAAAAATACAGACACGGAGACAGGAGTTAATCATCCTTACAAAGGAAACCATATTTTAAGGCAAAATATTTGAGATTCCTAGTACCTCAGTTGCAATCCTGTGAAGTACAATGTCCAAAGACACCATTTTCTTCACCTTTTCTAAGAAACAAAGCTGCTAACATCATGAAGACTAACATCATGTTTACTTTATTTGGAAATAGCCATTTGGTCTATACATACAAACTTCAGGCAATATTGTCAATTTGTTAGATGCAAAACGTAGCTCCTACTGGCAACAGCAGGTTTGTATTAGAACCGTGCCTATATTGGGAATTTTACTCAATGGGAAGCTGTTCTAGAAGAGAGGTACAGGGATAAACCTCTCACACAGGTAAACGAAACCTAAGTTTGTACCCAGAAAAACTGCAAAGATTTGGTCTTCAGCAAGCTTGTATTTTATTAATGAATCTAGATCTGTAGTAACATGTTAAATTAATGGTTTGAATGCATGTTTTCTTTTTTTTTTTCCCCTGACTTGCTATTCAAACAGGTATGACAAAAACTCACTTATGAACACTTACTTGAAACTTGGCCTTTGTTCTGTAGTACTGCTGGTAAATTTGCATCCTAATACGGATCTGCTTGAACACAAAGTAAAGCAGGAGTGTAAATTAATAGAACAGCTCAGGGAAATAATTACAGGTCACATACCGCCTGACAGAATTATAGAGATAACTTGCATTTGGAAAGTGATCCCCATGTTCTCACCACTAGACAGAGTGATTTGCCACGAACGATCCATTCGTGTTGAAGCCACAGATGTACGTTATGGCACCTAGCCTTCCCCCTCCTCCCACTGTCCTTCTTCATTGATTGCCTGCACCACCCACCACCAATTCAGTGCTCTGTCCTGGACAAGAGCATCAGACACCACTTCAGTCTGTTCATCAGTCATGGAAGAAGGAGGGAAAGAAAGATGACACAAATGGGATTCCCCCTTTCTCCTCTGAGTCAGTACAGAGCCAAAACGTGCATGTGTTTGGCTGCGCACCAAGCAAAGCTGACGATACCCACACTTTCAGTGAGGAATCCTCATGTATTGCCCTTCATCTCCATGCCCTCATATTCACTTTCTCACTGCACACTTCTGTAGTTACCCTTGTCTCATCAGCAAGCCCCTAATCTCTTAAAGACCTTTTCTTGGTGTGTTACTTGTATTACTTAGATCTGGCTTATTCGTAATTTTTTTCTGTTTCCTTCCTTTATCACTTGAATTACTAATTTCTTAAGTGTTTGGAAAGTACCTGCCTTGTAATGGATGCAACCACAAATAACACCTTAGTATGAAGTTTGGAAGCACTTTACAAAGCTGAAATTCAAAACATAACAAAGTTAGTCAACATCAAAGCTGGGAAAAGAAACCAAAAGCTGTCACTTCAGAAGATCGGTGATCAACCCACTGGCCAACAAACTCACTCATCTTCTCAAACTTTACAATGGCGAGTTTTACACGTGCATCATCTGCTTCTAAGTATTTCTTGTGCTCCTGTCTCAAATCTGATTCATACACACAGGTGTTGAAGCAGATCATGAAACTACAGGAATAGTTCTCAAACTGATCAAGGCTATCTTTGGACCCATTCTATTTCATATTTTGAATCCTTAGAGCCTGCATTTTGCTTTGATAAGTTATTGGTTTGACTGTCATTGTAATCTATCATTGTATTAGGATGACACATTGAACACTAGCATTTGTAGAAGGAGAGGTAGATGAGAAGTATTATCAGTCGGGAAATATATGCCTGTGCTATGAGTCACACGGTGACTGTTGTATGGACATGATAAAACATTAAGTATATGCTTGTAAAAACAGCAACATTTTTAGAAATATTTCCACCTCATTTTCATTTTTAAATAGCTTCACCAGAATAGGATTTTTCTTTTACAGCCACACTTCTCATATAGGTGAGCTTTACAAATTTAAACAAATGCTGGTAACAGAACCTTATATATCAAGTCAGCAAATCACGGCATTTTCGTTAGGAGTACAGCTGGAAGTAACTTATAAAATATGTACGAACTACTTGGAAGTCCAAGGCAAATGGTAGGAAAGACTAAGGCCTAAGCTATACAGAGACTACGCTGACACAACACAAAGTGTTCTGTTGTAACTTGTGTAATTTATTTTTATGGCCAGTCTGTGCACAGGGTGACTTAGGATTTGGTAAACTTACCTGGAGGAAAAGGGCTTGGTAATTTTACGGAGGCGGCAGAATTTTATTATGCATTATTAAGAGTTCAGCACATTCTGTTGAGCATGTAGATAAGCAGTTTGTATGGCCGCATAATTGTTTGAAATCTCCAGCCAGGCAGAAGCGCCACTTTTTGTTGAGGAACAGGTGATGCTGCGCAATACCTGGAAGGCTTTCAATCGCATTCACTAGAAAAAATTAACCATGATTGGAAGAAAATTGTCACCCAGTCACCCCTCATTTCCAACAACGCATTTGTAACAGATCTGAGGATGTTCAGTTCAAACGTGGGGTGATAAAAAGGAATTTATTTTTAACTGTCTGCTGTAATACGAGTGAGCATTTTGCTGTCATATGTTTCAATTACGTTCAAATGTCTCTGCTTAATTTTTCTTAGCGCTTGCATTCTTTTCAAGACAAAAACTGATGGCTAATAAAGTTCACATTTGGCCTATTTTATTTTTGCTGGATTAGGAGATCCTTTTTCACCATGCAGAAAAAAACCCACCAACTTGTCTTGAAAACATATACACAGTTTTGTAAAGACTGCAGTAATTTCACATCAAACTACAGATGACATTTTAGAAGGAGAGGAGGCAATTTTCCTTCACTATCCAATACAGTGTCTTAATCATTTATTGAGCTACTTCTGTGACTTTCTGATCTTTGAGTCGTTTTCACACACGTACCAAAATAAATGCTAGAGCAGCATTAATTTACAAGCAAAATGGTTACATGTACAGTGTTACTTTGACAGATTTACCAATTCCTACCACCTTTATCTTCAAGTCAGCTCCTTTCTTTCCCTTTGTACTTCCCCCACCACTTTCCACATGCGTATAGCTATGCTAGCGTGCATGAGATGATTACACTGTATTCTACCTTTCTATACAGCCTCTGAAAATATTTTTTCTTACTCAGGCTTAGTATCTACAGTAAAAATGAGATATGAAGTTTTTGCATAAGAAATCTAAGCAATTCTCAAGAAGGAAAACAATAAAGAATCCCAACTGCAAACCACATCTTAGACTCACCAGTCATCCAGCCCTAAAGAAAGTCACTTTCTAGTGTCTCAAAGACCGTAAGAAAAGGATTATACTGAATAATGTTCTCAACTCAGTTAAGAACATCTTGTTTAAGAAATTACGATACGCTTTGAGAAAAATAGGGAGAGAAGTCCAGAACCTTAGACACAAATTCTACTAGGATTTTGGGAACTGCACTTTTTTCACATTCTGGGTAGGACTAGAAATAATACTATAAACTATAGTGTTTCTTTAGTAAAAACATTCATGATGTATCGCACCCGAAGCACATTCCTAGCTCTTGAAGGAAGCGGAGACACGGCAGTGCCCTTCCTGTCACACGTTGCAGACTTCGGTAGTTTAGTTCTTTTGTACAAATATGTTGTTTTAAGGTAATGGAGAGTTTTGTGGCTTGTGGGAAATTAAATACAAAGTGCAAGTCCTGGGGAATCCTCCTTGACAGTTTCTGCTACAGAGGAGCCTGTGGTTTCAAGGGACTGCACCTAATTCAGACAGTTCCTTCCAAGCCTGCATACAGGCTTTCCATCCTGAGAAGCCATCAGAGCTGGAGTGAAGTGAAAAGGCCTGTGGAAATTAAAAGTAAAGTAAAGAACAGATGAGAGTAACATTTATTTGAGTTGGTGGGACTGAATCTAACTTAATTCTCTATTTCTTCAATCAAACCAGCCTGCAACTTACCATCACTTGATGGTACTTCACTTCACTTACCATCACTTATGGCCATATTGCTGCTACATCACATTCAGCTACAACATGCTAATTTTAGCTGTGAAAACAAGAACAGTAAAATATCATGCAAAGAGAAGCTTCCACCTAAAGTGCAACAAATACTTTTGCATTTCATATTATCTTTAATATTAATGATCCTTCTGTCATGAAATTTTGTAGTGAAAAAGATCAAGTGCTTTATGCAATTCAGAACAAGGCAATTAGTTCAGAATAAAAATTCTATTTATGATGTTATTCTTCTGTTTCTACCTCTCCTCCTAGTGTTTCTTCAGGAAAAGAAACCCAAAGCCTAGCAGCAACAGATTTAAACTAAAGTAAATAAATACACTGTCTAGCAGGATTATTCCCAGCCAATTAAATGTCTTTTCCAGAAGATTAATACTTTATTTAATAGCAACAATTTAACCAAAAGTTGAATCAAAATAATTAAAATGCCAAGCTCCAGACCAGTTCTTTTAAACATAAGCCAGCAACTTCTGCCAAGGAAAAAAAAAAGCCTCCTTCTGGCATGCCCGAGCATATCAGTCAGGTTAAGAAGTTTCAAACAGGAACGTACCGCAGAAGTACTGTCCTACCAGTATCCCTATGCACTCCACTTGACAGCCCAGTCCAGCTGGAAACTGAGTCAATGATCTTTGCTTCAATAAGAGTCGAAGGCCCCAAAATATCATGGTAATATGCTAATTTTGCTATTTCAAGGGTTCTTGAGTCAAGTGAGTGGTAAAAAAATTTAATAGTCCTCTCTCCTTAACAAATGAGTCAGTGCAGCAGTGCTATCTGCTGCCAAGTTAAGGGCACAAAGCAGAGTTTTTCCTCTTTGTTACTATCAGAGAGACCTGCCTAGGCCAGCATTTCCTAATTATCTTGCTCAACCCCTTTTCTCTCCACAAATGAACTCCGTCATTCAGTTCCTGTCCCTAATTAGCCCAAAAAGCAGCAACCACGCAGACAAAGCTCTGCTGCTTCCAAATCTAGACCTGCTTCCATGCCCTTTCTGAATACCTCTTGTGCCATTTCTAGAGTAGTATGCCCACTTCCCATTTTGGGAAACACTGGAGAGAAAATTCTTTGCCTCCTGCGTTCATACGATTTGTTTCCACGGGATTCTCAATACAGACTTGGATGAAGCAGGGTCACTTCTACAGAGAAGTGACTTAAGTCCATTACTTAAGTCCATTTACCAGATCAGTGAAAGATGCTGCTGTGTACCCGCCATGCACAATGAAGTTATCCTCTGCCTATCCACAGTGCACTCGTTCTTGATCACGGAATCTGTCAGCAGAAGCATGAAGCCAGATGGAACCCATTTTTACCTAGCTATGTGACACCTACTTTAAGTCTTACTGTGTTCACTGTGGTTCAAATGTCCAGCAGTCTTTCCGCATGGCAAAACCAACAAAATCATATTCAAAATCTACTTCAAGGTCACATCCTTTCTTATTTACCAAATCAGGACATAACATACAAAATTGAGATCAGTTCAATCAATTCAGACCAAAAGCTGGACTAGCACACTGTCTTCAACACTGTCATATAAGACTGTAAGAAAGAGGAAGGGCAAGGCACAAATTACAAATATACAACACTTTCCCCAAATGCTCTTCCAAACTGTAACAATTTTCATCCCAGGGAACCTTCCGAGTCAGATATGGCTCCCTACATTTAGCAGTCCTCAGCGTATTTCTATTCCATGTACCACTTCACTCTCTCAACACAAGTAGACCTTTAATATCCTTTGGAAATAAGCTTCACAAGTCTACCATGTATTGCATCAAGTACGTGTCCTGACTCTGCTAGGCTTATGTGACGTCTCCAAAGTTCTCGTATTAGAAGAGGTGCTGAACAGCTAGTCTTTATCTAATCTCACTAATGGTTTTGTAACCTCTGTCACATCCCAAGTCGTCTCTTTGCCGAACTGAAGACTTCTAGCCTTATCGTCTCTTTCTCACACTGATCAGCCCTGTGATCCGCACTGAGTTATTGCAAGGGTTGCATCTCCTCTTGCAGACTTTCTAATCAGTTGGTCTAGATGAGTCACTGACACTATCTAAAAATTCATTATCTAAAAATTTAGCCTTTGCATTTTGTCTTGTAAAATTACAGGTGACTTGAAGGTACTTGAAAATGTCTTGCACCTAGAAAGGTCGCCTTATATAACTGAGATTACTTTATCGTAACCAAAAGTTATTTGGTTTGTAAATTAATTTTAACACAGATCAATTGCAATGAATTGAATGTTTCCCCTTTTTAATGTAACGGCTGCCAACAAGATGTCTCTAAAGAAAATGCAACTAAATGTAATTTTAAATAGAGAAAATTTTGGTTCAGTATCTGGAAGGAAGGAATATTTCAAATGTTGTAATGTTTGCCAGGTGAAAAACTTCCTGTGGTTAACTGGATGTAGGTGTCAAGTCAGATTTACCCATTTTTATGTAACAACGTAAAACTAAATTCAGCTATTTGTAAACAAACAAAAAGTACTTTCTTCCAAATGTGGAAAAAAGCAGAAAGAAAAATAAGATCACAACTACTCTCTGGTACTCCTTATTAATACACACTATAGACAGAAAAACTGTTTTATAATGATTTTACAAGCCTTGAGAGGGAAAAACCCAAGAAGAAAAAAAAAAAAAAGAGGGAAGGTGACATTTCCCTCCTGTATTACAGTCATATCACTACAATCTCACCTTGTGGAAGAAACGCAGTGCATATCATAGTTCCAGCTAAAATTCATCATTTTAAACAGCAAGGCTATTGAAGCCTGTTTTCCAGTAGGCTTACGCCTGGTTGTTGACGGAATTATTTTTAACATTTTTATCACAATTCTGCATCATGAGTTCCTCCCTTACTGATGACTGTCTGAAAACTGACATAGAAGAGAAACTTTAACGGAGAGCTAAATCTGGGGCTTTATTTGTAGATTCTTTGATCCACAGGTTGAGTTCGTATTGCATTCTTTAATACAGCATCAGTCTGTCTGTGTATTTTTCCCTCTTCAGAACAGAAATAATTGGTGTGACCTACCCTTGAGATCTCAACATCTCTCTTGGCTCTAGAAATTATTGTAAGGGACAGAAAACAGGACACGTGCAACAAAATGATCCTTAAGAGGCAAAATTAGAAAAGAAAAATAATCAATAATATACATTTCAAAGCATTTGAACAAATGTTATTATTCTGTAGCTTGTATTAAAGTACTTCCAGTGTTAAGCTTTACAAGCACACACAAAAGGTGCTATCCTTACTGAAAACTGTACGTTAATACAATGTTAGTATTCATGCAATTTTGTAAATAGATTATGGAAGAATTTAGCTTATTCACTCTTTTCAGAAAAGTAGGGTGGTATGCATCTATGAGTGATATTAAAACATCTGAATAGCTTTAACATTTCAACTGAAAATGTTACCATCCGATTACGTATAAAATTAAGTAGAGCATGATGATGGTTATTGTGATGATTATAAACAGCATTGTGACAATTATAAACATGGAGTTTGGGATCCTTCCTGAGTTTATGTTGCTCCCACAAATGTTTTCCAATGGGGGAAAAATACCCCAAACACACACATCCCAACAAGCTGTTTATTCTTAACCACTGACGTTAACATTGATCACTCCCAGTTACTACGTTTCAGAGGTAGGAACTTTCTCACTTTCCGCTCAGTGTAATATATATACACATTGCATCAATGTGAGTTACCCGACTGCTAACCTGCTTATCACCGGGTTTGTATCATTGTTTAGTCCTGATCCATCTATACCAGCACTCACTACCAGAGAAGCTGCACATGCAGGAGCAAAGAAAAATTTTGTAACAAAAATATTTGTTAGTAGGTCTAACAAATACTGAGGAAATACTGGATTACAAGAGATCCTTTTGTTCTGATTGCTCCTTAGTTCAGTTTTTCTGCATCCCTATTTAGCTAACCCATGTTATGAGAAAAGGCAAACGTTCTCATGTTTCAAGACCTGCTTTAATCCATCTTAGAGATAAGAAAAGCCCTGTTACACATTTCAGACCATCAAGAAATTCTCTCTATGCACGAGAGAATACATTTTTTCCCCTCCTGTAACCGATTACTGCAAAAATTGGAAAGTATTGGATATCTGTCTAAGGATATCTACGTAAGAGGTGCAGTGGTAAAGGTATTAGCCTTCCAGAACGTAAGACATCCTCACATACAGGTTTGATGCTTCCCCTTTTTGTTCAGAGAGGAGAAATGAGTCAGGCACACTAGAATCTGGTTTGCCTTTGGATCTAAGACATGTACTGTTTAATTACCATTAAAAAGCATACAAGCATGAAAGAAGCAATAAGCATGCATGAATTATTTCTTTGCTAAAACTTTCATGAGGGAAGTTGCTCCTAAAGGGCTAGGAAAAGGAAAGGCCACAGATTTACTCTACCCTTGCCAGTCAAACAATGCAAGTGTTGGTGTGTATGCTGATTCTTCTATAAGCTAGTATCCAGTATCTCAGCACAAAATTCTATTAAAAAAAAAAAGCTTGAGCTGGACACTCCCAAAATGGTAAGATTTGCTTTTATTACTGATTTTATACTTGTTGGTTATTTTGGGTTTCATTTGAGGAGGGAGCTTAGGAGGAGAAACTCCCCGCCCCTTCAGGACTTTATAGCTTTCAAGGGAAAACTGCCAGGCTTCTAAACGCGTGGCATTTTAGGGATACAAATCCAGCCTTAAAAAGTGCAAGCAAGCCTTCTCACTAGTGATCAGAAGGGATTCCTCATATCTCTATTTTCTGGAAATCACTTCTTTTGTTCATATTACTCCATTTGCTTTAGCATCCTCCTGCTCCAACTTCCTCCTTTCCCCCCCATTCCCCTTCTGTTCCTAAAGATCACCTGTTTTTCCCCTTTCCTCCACATCTTTTGTTGTCTTGATCTCCTTACAGTTCCTACACACCAAAACTTGGTCTCAATAGGACTGTAAGAGATGGTGGTCATCGTAACAAGAAACTGCTTCACTTCCATATTGTTTGGATAGGATGATCAACTTGCTGACTTCCACAATAGCAGG